ATGATAAATCTCAGAATATTGAGATTTAGGATTACCACCTTTTACAGATTAATATCTTTTAGAGATTATCAGATTCCAAATTACCGCCTTTTACAGCTGGTAATCTGGAGAAACTAGAAGTCAAAAGGAAACTTTTTTCAAGATCTGGTCAAAATTGACAAATTACGTAAAATATGTACTCCCTGTGCTTTAAGTTTGCCTGCCACATGAACACACTGTTATAACTTGTGTTCCAGTATTGTTTCAGACAAATAATTCTGCCATAACTGTGCCATCCCAGAAAGTTAGAAGAATTAGACCTTCCCCTCACCTACTTACATGTTCTCATTATTGTAAAAAACAAAACCTTTGGAGTAGCATATGTTGATTTTCTTATTCACAGTATGGAATGTGATTAAGAATGTGATGGATACTGAAACATGGACGGATTACTTTGTCTGTAAAACGTGCTTCTCCAATAAAATAAAAAAAATGTTTACTTTAAGACCTGTTTTTTTTTTTCGTACACCTGCTGTCAGCTTTATGTCCATTATCTCTTCACCAGAATTATATACTTAATGAGAAAAACATTAACAAGTTTGATACTTATCCACCCCACACTCTAAACTGCTGGGATTCAGATGTTGCATCAAAGTAATTTTTTTGATATTGTATAAATGCACATATTGAAATTATGGCAGCAGTTGTAATTATGTCCATTTTGAATATGTACAATAAAGAAAATAACTTCAAATGTCAGCAAAAACAAGAGGGAAAAAAACCTTTGTGGATAGACTGTTTTTAATGCTGGTGATAATTGAATGCACCATTTTCTCCTCATACATAACAGTCCACAAACAAACAGCATTACAGCAAAGATGCTGTGATCCTAGATCAGCAAAGTTACTCTGGAGAGCAGAGAAATGAAAGCTAAGGAAGAATGCACAGAGCATCAGGAAAAGTGGGAAGGGATATTAAAGGCCATAATGTAACCCTTCCTGTAGTAACCACCGACCTGGGACTTCAGATCAATAGATCACAAGAGGCACATGCCATTGATGGTTCTATCTACCTTGGGAGTGAGTGCTGCACAGTCTTGCTGACTGGCCATCTTGCTTCTATACATCCCACAGCTTGTCTTTTTTACATTATCAATGCCCCAACAGTGGAGACAGGAGAGCCCACACAGCTGCATGCCCCTGCACTTTTCTCTCCACTTCCTGTCCTACCCTCCATCTTATTCTCTAACTTCTCTCACTCACCTCCACTGGTTCAGAACTGCAGGAAGGGCAGAGCTCAAACACATCTGTGTCTTGGATAAATAAAAGACAAGACAGGTTTTCAACATAAAGCTAATTCTAAACTAATCACCATTTTGATTTTGTTCATTCCACTTGGGAAAAATTACATCATGTTAATAGTGATCATGCACTACTATGAAAGTTACATCTCCAGAAAATGAGAATCAATAGTTCTCTCAAAAAGAGAACTATTGATCAATACAGCTGTGGGATAAAAACCTTATACAGACCTGTCCATCATGCCTGCATCTACATTGTCTTTTCTAGACGCGGATCAACACAACAAAAAAGTATTTCGCCCTAAGATCTGCTTTGCTCAGCAAGCCTGTACTTGCAGGAAATGCACAATGATACGTTCATCTAAAATGTAAATATTTTTGTAAAGAATTGGAAAGGCTACCTGCCACTACAGAGAATGTTTGGGATAGTTAAAGTTTTTTTCTGTCCTTAAATATTGCTTATATCATTTCATTTTAATTTTTGGTCAGAAGTTCAGGTTAAATAAGAGTTAATATTAAATTAAAATAAACCAACTAAATATACTAAACAGTTTTAAAATGCTGATTTAATTATTAAGGTAAAAAGCTGTCCAAACTAACAGTATCTTTTAGTTGAGTTTTACTAGACTCCAGAGAACCATGATTACAGCAACAACTTGAATTTAACAAAAGATTTAAATAAAAAACTTTCTGGCAACACGAAGTAGGACCTTTAAAAAGAAATGCATTATGCCCATATCTGAACCCATTCAGGAGCAGATGAGTAGGGAGGTCTCTAACATCTATTACAAATGGTTAAAAAAAACCTTTAAACAGCTTCAGAAACTTAGGAAGCATGGAGCGGTTTCAAACATTGTAATTGTAAACTTTGTTTAAAGTCAATAATTTAAAAATGCAAACACTGAAATTTCAAAATTCCCTCTAAAAAGTAAAACAACTGATGATACTGTAATTTTTAGCAGTAGCGTTTTTTCAACGAGAGATGATTTCAGCATCACTGAGTTCCTGCGGCTACGATGTCACTGCAAACTGGCAGTTTTTTGGGGGGTTTTTCGCATCGGGGCGGGGATAAAGTGAAGGCTACTTCAAAGTCCCTCTGCTTTTCCGGTACTCTTCATCTAAACTAATGAAGACTCTTATTCAAGTGCTGCTGCTCAACCACAAATAAGGGTTATCGTGTTATTATCTTTTGGCAGTTTGAAACGACAAGTAATTCAGTAAGTTTAATTTGAAATGAAGCTAATCAAGGACCTATATTTTAACAACTCCAGAGCTTCAGACCTTCACTGATGTGGCTCCAGAGCTTCATCAGTGAAGGTCTGAAGGGAATTTTGAATTATCAGTGTTTGAAATTTCAGCATTTTCATTTTAAATTTTCAATGCCAACTCCCACAATCCATATCAATGCAAGCGACAACCATCATCCACAAATTGAGGGGAAAAAAATTATAGGAGTGACAACCCAACCAAAATTACTCCAGAAGCACATCAACAACTCATCCAGGAGGTTGCAATACAATCTCAAATACATATCAAACCTTAGTTCTCTCAGTCATGCTTTTTGTTCTGGAGGTAAAAAAAAACAAGAATATCTCAAACTTACTAAATAAACCCTTGAGGAATGCATTCTGGGGACTAAGAAGACTAAAGTGTATTTTTGTTAGTGTGTGTGTCATACCCCAAATTTACTGTAATTGAATCCTACAGTAATATTTATCACAAGGAAAGGCTTGGACTAGATAAATGTTACCTAACTAGTTAGGTACATTTCATTAACCGGCAACCCGGTGGACCTTAAGTGGGGGTAATATTTCAGAATGCATAAAATTGCACCGGTAAATTTTTTACCAGCAGGTGGAGCCATTGCACGCAGCTCCAAGCTGACCCCAAAAGTTCCAAACCCCACAGCTCTGAATCGCTTTAGCTAGAGGTCTCAATTTTTCTGAATTTGTGGTTGACATGATGTAGAACAAATATAATACAGTTCAAAAAAGACCTATAATTTCCGAGAATAAAAAAACAACAACTTTGAGTCACCCACAATTATATATTATGAAACTAAAGGGTGTTAGCTTTCAAAAAATGTATTGAACATGTAATTTGGGCTTACAGATCCTAAGTTATTTGCTTTTCCATTTGGATATGCAAAATAGACAAGGATTACCCAAAATGAGGTGGATGTTAAGAGGTTAAGGCTCTCTATACATATAGGATATTCCGTGACACTTTTTATTTAAGGCGTCATCAAAAGTTGATGAGGTGGTAAACTCATTATTTCACTACAGCCTCGTTGTTTGATTGCTAATGCAACAGAAATTGTCTGCTGTTGCTAAGATAAAACATTTACTTGTTCTTTTGGAAGCACTCACTATGTATCAAACACTATATAGATCAGGGACTATATAGTGAGCTCAGTTAACTGACTGTTCGGACAGATGATCACTACTTTTCGCTCCCCGTTGGACACGTTCCTCCGCCTCCCCGAAAGGAGCCTGCGCCATCTTTGTTATTAGTCGCCACCATCAGTTAGCAACAGCCTATGGTGACAGCAAATCCCATAATGCTATGTGCAGAGAATCCTCAACGCAAAGCATTCTGGGATATATCTGCTCATCTAAGTGGTGACTATGGATGATCACTACTTTTCAAGGTGCATTGTGGGAAATATCAAGTCCACTACTTTTTCATCCACTAGCCGTTCAGACCCGTATCTAAAATGGCGTAATCGCTAAATAGTGCCCTATGTAGTAATTAAGGCGAACATTCAGAAACAGCCAATGAGGTAGGCAATAATGTGAAGGATTGTGCCTAAGTTGAAAGATTTCGATAGTATTCACTTTTCATGTATCGCAAGTAATAACTTTTTTGGGACATTTATTACCATTATCACAGAGAGATGGTGAAAATTTGTGAAAATTGTGTTTTTCACCAATTCAGGATGGGACGGACCTGCTGCAATTGATGGAACAATTAATTCTGCTCTAAGCCAGAAGAATCGTCAAAGAAAATGTCAACACCTCAGCTCATGGTCTTATGCCCTGGCAGACTTAGGCTATGCAGTGAGACAATGAACCAAAAAAAAACCCAGCAGAATGAAGCCATAATAAGATAGGAATAAACTTCAGCCATAAACATAATAAAGGCATGAATTTTAACAGACTATTTATTTTCAAATAGTCAAGTAGCTGAATTCAAACAATCCCTTGAAGAAAGGTGGACACATATATCTCTACAGCGATTTAAATGACTCATTGTCAGTTACCCGAAGCAGTTGATAGTGCTTGTTGCAACTAAGGGTGGTACAACAAGTTATAATAAATATAAGGGTGGAAATTAAAGCACTACAATTTTTTTTTTGATATTTACTTAATATCTTGTGAGCAGATTAAAATGTGTTTGATGGTCTGAAACTTTAAAGAGCGAGGAGAAGAATAATACGAACCTGTGAGGGGTTAAACACTTCTCTAGTGCACTTTAAAAGTTTTAAAATGGCTCAAGGTCATTTTTCTACATATGCCTTCCACAAATCCCCAGTACAAACTCAAATCTTAATAAAAAACATAATGACATCTGAAATATTCATAACATCACAAAGATTTTTTGTCCAATAAAGATTTAGCAGAGGTGGCAGTGATATGTGTCCTTTGAAAGGGTTCTGCAGAAGAGCTTAATTATCTGTAAAGGACGTCTAAGTATTACGAAGGGTTATGCAATGACTTACTTTCTGGTTTAGATAATATGGATCCAAGTCCTCCAGGGGCGTAGCCACCATTCCATTAGGAATATCGCCATAGATGAAGGGCAGGCTCTTCCCTGCTTCCAGATCGCTGTTGGGCTTCGGCTCATTTTCATCAGATGTGTCGCGATGACTACTGTCTGATCTGGGCTTAGGAGGCTTCTTATTTTTCTCTTCTTTGATGCGCTTCTCGATGTTAGCGAGAGACTCAGGGGTGAATTTCTTGAAGCTGTCAGGTCCTGGGGGTGCAAGAATGGGCGCAGCCATGTTTTCATCCTGCAGCTATTTCCCTTTTATTTGTTTTCCATTCCCAACATCCAGCTCTGGGAGAAGAGAGACAAAGTGATTAGAGTGTGGAAAATGGAAAAAAAAAAAAAAAAAAAAAAAAAAAAAAATCGGCAGAACCATTTGATTTTCTTAAACCATCAATCAACCNAGAAGAGAGACAAAGTGATTAGAGTGTGGAAAATCGAGTGTGGAAAAAAAAAAAAAAAAAAAAAAAAGGTACAGAACCATTTGATTTTCTTAAACCATCAATCAACCAACGCGTGGTATCTAATCACAATGAAAAAAAAAGTATTTTTCTTTATTAATGAAAGAAACTAAGACTTCAGTCCTTTTTTTCATGTAATTTAATGCACATCTTTTTATTTGTTATTTAAAAACTACATAGAGGTTAAAAACAAATGCTTTAAAGCATCCCTCGGGGTAATTTTCTAATTGCTTTATATCTTTATTCCTTTAATAACTTTTAACTCTCTAAAACAAGCAGCAAACATTTTCTACTATGTATTAAAGCATAAAATCTGAACCTGTGTGTCAGAATTCTGAGGGGAAATAGAAATCCATGTCAGCAAAAGAAAGGCTAATGTGAGCTTTTCTTTTAAGCATTAAACCTGTTTCAGAACCCGTCTTCAATATAAAAACATATGATTACTGGCAAGAAAATAAAGTTCCAACAATCATTGGCCAACAAATACTTCACCTTCTACAACCATAACATTGAGCACCTTTTAATGTCTCTACCTTGATATACTGTATTTTTGCAAGCTAGAACGATCACCAAAACAATTATTTTATATAAGTATTTGTTGATTTCAGATCTGTCTTTATTTAGCAAGGTTTCAGGTTATCTTTGCCAGCTGTCAAAGGGAAGGTTGGGGCATAGGACACACAACAGAACAGACTAATATCTAACGTCCAATATCTGCTTGTTGGGACAGGGGGATATAGTCTGGAAGAGAATGCGAACTTCCCACAGGAAAACCCTAACTGGATTCCTTATCGGGATCAGCTTGATGACGTTGCTAAAAATCACACTACAGTTCTCTAACAACTGGCACAGAAAAATCCTGAATTGTAATTTAAAGGACAGGTGGAAATCCAACTTATTTTTTATCCAACTATGGAAAGAAGATATCAAATTTGATCTATTTACCAGTTTTTAAAGATCCAGTCAAGAGAGAACCATACAGTGCTGAGAGCATTTGAAAATAAAACTAAAACATAAAGTGCAAAAATATATCATATAACGCACGCAAACACATATATATGCTAAATTTTATAGGTTAAGAAACTAAAACCAGAACAACTTGCTCTTGTGTTTTCATCAAACATAAATTTCACTCACCAGTTTGTGATCTCGTCCTGTTTGATGCACGGGGGCAGGTTGCAAGTATAAAAAGGTCTAAAACACAACCAAAGTATTTAAAAAATGTTAAAAAGCAGTCAGTGGAACTTCATAAACTAAAAAGCCCCTGACAATCCAATATCATTAAAGATAGAAGGGAGAAGAAGTCCACTTTAAGGAGTGAGTTGACACAGCCCCCAAATAGCTTTTTTTTAGACCAAAGTGGGCAAAAATACTACCGGAATTGCATGTAGTCTCCTTTTGAAGTCTTAAAGATGATTTGGGTTTATAGCTGTACAGAAACACCTGTAAAAAATCTAAACATCCTATAAGTTTTAAATAATTAAAAGGCAGCTGATGCAACCTTTACAGCACAGGTCAAAACCAATATTTCAGCAAATTGCATGCTGAACGGATTTAAAGTTATGATGAGAAACATATCTATAAAAAAAAAAAAAAGTGGCGTTAACTGCTTCCTAAGCAATAAGAGAAGCCGTTTGTTCAGCAGCTTGAAAATGAAAGTGAGGCTGTGTCCTCTGAGGCGGTAGAAGCATCCAACAAAGGGCGCCACACATCCTGAAGCAGCTAACTCCCTTTGCTCTCCTCTGTGCACTTGGATGATCAAACTGATGGAGTTGGATCTTACTGGATGCAACAGTCAGGTGGCCAAACCAGGTGGTCTGAACAATGGCATCCATCTGAATCAAATGGGTCGCTTCTGAAGTACAATTTCTGTCTTCCCTTCTCCTATAGTATGCTAAAGGTGTCTGTTCCAGGATCGGTCAGATTAGTATTAATAAACAGCTGGGAGCTAAACAGCTCCATATCTGAAATCCAGAACTTGCCCAAGGTTATGCAAGGCCCTCAGCAGAATATCATTTGGAGGCAGCTCCTTCATGTTTAAAGGGGCCATGCTTGTTTATTTGTTTCTATTTTTTCTTTCACTTTATTTTTGCAACACACGTTTTAATCTGAAACCAGTGAGCTTATAATGCACAAATGTTTTTTCATTCTAATAATCTTTTCTGAGATCAGAAGAGAATAAAGTGAAAACGATTAGGGAGCAGGTCTGCTGTCGTCATGCTTTTAACTCATTTTAATCTATAATTTACAGTTTATAGTTTACAGTTTGATAATTGAGCAGTTATTTTGGGGGTTGTTTTTGGTCCTGACATTTTCCAGTTAAAAGGAATCTTAACTCATTATTATATTCATAAAATTATTTACTGATAAATGTATTTCCATAACTCTGCTGGCATCTTGACAAAGGAGTTTTTAATAGAAAAACAAGCTTTTTTCTTTTCTTTTTTTTTTTTTTACATTTGGACTGCAGAACAGTATTAAGTATGAAATTTATGCTTACCTGAGTTTATTCTAATATATTTTAATTTAGCTCTGATGAGACCTATAATAACCCCCCAGGAAGACACAGGAGTTTTGATATAGGCAGTTGCCCAGGGTAGCATTAAAAGAGGAGTGCCACAAGCATGAGATCAAGACAAACAATTTTAATTCATTTGCATGTGCAGTTAATGGGGTGTAAGCACCCCAGCTCATTTTGAGGGTTAGGGTTAGAGACCATATAATCTGCAGAGTAATTTTGCCTTTTGTATTTCCTAATCCCTATTGTTAGCTAACCTTCGCTCTTGCAGAAATGAAGAGTAACCTGTGCAATATTTTTGCTTACTTTGTCCACTGGGCATATTGGAAGAAACTAAAAATTCACAAACTGTTCCTATGGATGTCTGTATAATAAGCACAACCACAAAGAGAACAAAAAAACATAGTGATATATGATAAACAAGACATATACTAATCAAGCTGTTGCAGCTTCTTTTGCGGCTCTAAAGGAATTATGCATTAGAGAAGACTTTGTTCAAGAGGGTCCCAATCAAATGAAGGATGAAAAGGAAGATTAATTAAGGTAAGAGGATGTTTGCATTCTCTAACCGTATCTATTTTTTAATGAGCAACAAACAAAGAGCTTCTGTGTGTTAAATGATGAAAGGTCACGAATCAAACCCTTCCTGTGTATGCTGTCCCCCCTAACATGGATCAATTTGCATTAACCAGTTTCATAATCTTGTTTCTTTCACATAATATTTGAGTTCAATCACAAGAAGAGGGTCTGGTGCAAAGTTTGCTTGTCCATCAACCCATCCCAAACAAAAGAACACTAAGGAGTACTATCTTTTTATATTCTATCTGGGATAAATCAGCTTTAAGTTAAACTTTCTGCTAGGATTAAAATTTGGTGTTTTAAAATAAATCCTTTTTTTTTTACTATTATTATTTTAAGACATGGGATTCAGAATACAGAAAGTAAAACTCAGCCTCTCATTTTCCTTGAACTTCCAATTCCAAATAATGACTGCCTGCTCTTTTTCACAATGTCATAACCACAGTGCTATCCCTATAGCCAGACTGAGAGCCTCACTAACCTGTTTCATTCCGGGGTGCGTCGTTGTTCTATAGGGCCAAAGCCTGAAATACTGCAGTGTGCTGCTATAGGTTCTAACTAGTAGGTCAGTGGAATCTACAATCCGGATGCTGACATCTCAAAACGCAGTAAAACCGGCAGCAGATATGAAGTTACTGCAACACAATGTTATAAAACAGGGTTTGTGTTTTTTTAAAGCCATGTTATTTACAAAAAGGGTGAAGGATACCGCACCCTGTTGACAGGCAGACCTTAGTGTGTGTGCTGCTGAAGAGTGGCTGAAACAAAGAATATGTGTTTAACGTCGAGTCTGAATAAAAGGAGAAAGATGCGGCGGTCCCCTCAGAGGACTGCCAAACTACAGACGCACCTTATACCCCCCCACCCCACCCCACCGCACGCAATACAGTCTCAGGGGAATCTGCAGGGGAGGGGGATAAGGAGGGGGGGTAAAACTATTACTAATAATGCTAGAAAAACATGTAGAGACACTTTAGGTGTTTGCGACCCCTTTTTTTTCTAATTATTTTTTTCCACTGTGAGAAGTTTGACATGATCACATACATATGATGTTACTCATTCTGACACAGTGAGGTGTCATCCCATCCAGCTGCAGCCCCCCCCCCCCAAAAAAATAAATAAAAAATAATAATTTAGCAATCCAAAGTGTCGCAGCATAGATTTCCTTTTTCTGAAAATAAATTAAAATAACGATCAATTACCGCTTATGTCTAAAATGATCGCATGCACATTTTTTCATAGAGGTAAGGATACCCCCCCTCCCCTCCCTCCACAGCCGCTTACAGCGGAAAGATGCTGAGGAAGGGACCCGCTCTGCGGCACTGGGATGCAGTCAGTCGACAAAAAGTACGGCTGAGCTCCATCCCGCGGCCAAAACATGCCGGAAGAAGACAGCAGATTGTTCACTTACTTTTTCTGGCATTAACAAATATCCTGATAACTGGCACTGAACTGCAGATGTGGAGAGGAGTCGGGAGTAACTGCGGCTGTCGCCATATTGGTGCTGCTATCTTCCTTCCCAGTGCGTGCCGCTGCCCTGCATAATTGATGACTCTCAGCAAATTGTTAGGGAGTGTCTGTAAATGCCTTCACTCCCGATAACGGACAGGAGACCGCAGCATCGTAAGCACAAAAAAAAAAACTGGTTCATTTTTTTTAAAAAGACGCATATATATATATTCTGCTTGGCACAACAATAAAACCTAATTTTGATTATTTATCAAATACTTTATGTTTTTACCACATTAACTGATTATATTCAAAATGACCATAAATAATTTTGAACCACATATGTCTTTAATTGAACTTGCGCGTAATATAACAAGTTAAGGTCATTATGATTTTTTTATTTTATTTTTTATTTAACCTTTATTTAACCAGGGGAAAAAAATCCCATTGAGATTAAAAACCTCTTTTTTTAGGGAGTCCTGGACAAGAGGCAGCAAAGTTACATAAGAAACATAGATACAAAGGCGGTTCAAGACAGGGGTCAACGGGGGCCAGTGCCCCTGTAGAACATGTCCTGGCCCCTCTTATGAAGACATAATACTCAAAGACGTTCTAATGATTATATGCGCTGGAACAGAAATGGTTACTGATAGGTCCTTTGGATCTATTTCATTTGTTTTCTTTAAGAATTCTGTTTTACTAAGTATTTAAAAATTATAAGGTGATGGCTTCAGTGCTATTGAGATAGGATCCCAGTTTTCATCTGCTAAATTTTTTTTTTCAAAACAAATAAAAAAAAATTACCACTGAATTTATCCGTTTTTCTTGAGTTCTAATACTGATTTTATAGAAAATGGTAATTCTAACCTAAATTACGTCAAAAATATGTCACATTCATAAATTATGAATAGATATTGACCTAATAAGACAGAATTTTAATTAAACCCAATTGAATAGATATTTCACTTGACGCAGCTATGTTAATATATTGGAATCCCTTGCCCTGTTTTTTTATTTCATGCTTTTCTGTGCCCCCATGAAAACACGCAGGCCCCCTCCACCCTTTGTACATTTGGTCTAGAACCGCCACTGCATAGATACATTAAAATAAATAAAAGGTACATTAAAAATAAGAAAAAACATATCAAGTAAAACAATTACAGATCCCTAAGGCTGCTTCAAATTCTTTCACTTTCAACTTTAAAGTATTTATAGATAAAAACTCAGTCAACTTACAGTTTCTTTGTAAACAAATTCCATGCACAAGGAGCTGCGTATCTAAAGGCTTTCTTCCCTAGTTCTGTGGAACAGTGAGCAGCAGCTGATGGTTGGATCGCAGGGCCTAAGAGGCCATGCTTTTCTTTGAAAGTACTGTAGGTACAAATATAAAGAGGGCAGTAATCCAAGAAGGGCATTGTAAATAAAAGTGCACCAATGACACTGGTAGAGAGGGAAGGCCATCCCACCTGAGAGTAAAGGTCACAGTGATATGTCATGGCTCTACAGTTTGTGATGAACCTTAATGAAGCATGTTAAACAGAATCAAGCATTTGATGATATGAAGAAGTAGCATTCTTAAAAAAAAAAAAGGTCACCATAATCTAAGACCGATACAAATGTGGCTGAGACGAGGCACTTTTTTACTCCAAAAGAAAAACAGGTCTTATTACAAAAGAATAAGCCCAGTTTAACTTTTAATTTCTTAACAAGTTTATCAAAATTATTTAATTATATAGTGCATCCAGCAGTATACAATTCATTTTTTTACCATGTGTGTTTCCTTCATTTCTGCTCTGGACCCGGTTCATGGACCACACAGGTGGATCAAAAAGATTTGAGAAATTCGAAACAATTACAAAGACGTGGAAAAAAAGAAGAGTTTTATAGCCTCCAAATTGGAGAAAAATATTCAAGTTATAAAAAAAAAAAATATTTTGATTACATTATTTAAACTTCCCAAAGAAAATTTTTCTTGGGCACAGACTCTAGCTGCTGTAGTCCAAACCATGCCTGTCCCTTTTACACAGAAAAAAACACTAGAATAATAACAAATAAATAAATTTAAATTACTTCTAAATTACGTAGTGTGCACATTAGTTAACTATGTAAAGATTCCACTTAACCTTATCTTCAGTGGTTAATTAATCACTTTGTTTATTTTGTTTTATTAATTTGTTTAAAACATTTAGCATTATGCACTTTTATGGGGTCAACTATTGTTTGTACTCATTATAATAAGTACAAAAGGAGCATATAAGAAAGCTATAGTTTTCACTTCCCGTTTTCACTTATCGCCCCCTTGTGGCCAAATTGATAAAAACGCCTGCTACAGTGCCCTCTAAAGTGAGTGCTTTTTTTTGTGTGTGCACGCCAATGGTTTTGTGTAACTCCAATTACACTAGAAGCAATTACAATGTTAGGAAGATCCTATTTCAATACTTAATAAATACATGTATCAAGTCTTTGCATTTATAGGTAGTATTTTAAAGTTATCCTTGCCGGTTAATAGTGGACCTGTTGCCTATTTTTGTTGTCTTTGGATGAGAGGCAGCCCAGGTTGGAGGTACATTAGTAGACACCGAAGAAACAGGACAGACGACACAGCCGGACCCACACAGACCAGGGTGTCAATTGAAGAGACCAAAAAGAATAAAAATGTTTTTAGGAACATGGAAGGATGCTATGGTACCTGAACCCCTGAGGAAGAACATCTTAGACAGGGATTCTAACCCAATGCTAAAAAATAGCTCCACCATGCATTTATTTAAAAAAAACAACTATCAGTGAGCTGCACGATGATGCAAGTTGGAAGAACTGCAACTCTGTCTTTGACTACATAGGATAGGGCTGAACTATTTTGAAAAAACTGAAGATTGCATACATTTTTTTCTTCATTCATTGGCACTAACCATAAGCATGTAAATGTTTCACTCCGGAGTTACAATGTTTTTATGACCTTGAAAGGTTTTTTGTCGAGAACTGATTGTTAGAAATATTCCTTATTATTTATTAAAAGGCTTGTTAAAACTCTGAAACACCTATGTTAAATCTAAAACATCTGTATACTTCCCCTTTAATTATTTTCTCCTACACACTATACACATAATATGATGCCATAAGTTATAAATTCCAATTCTTTGTTTAATTGCCAAAGGAGTCATATTAGCATAAACAGACATCCCCTTTTGTCAGGATAACACTGAGAAAAATAATGCAACCGTTTTTGGCATTTGCTTAATCATATTTAGTTTAACACAATAGTTTCATGTTAGCAGGGTAGGACATAAAACAACTGTGTTAAAGTAACTAAATATGATTAGGTAAATGCCAAAAGTGGTTGCATTATTATTTTTCAGTGAACAGTAATTGTCTTCACAGCATCAGTCACAAGATTAGGGGAAGAGAATGGGGATACATGGAGCAACCCAAATAAATATAATAACCTATATAGATGATAAATGTTATTTTAGAATAAAAAAAAATAAAATAAAATAATATTACCTGTAATAAATCCTCTCCTTCCATGTTCTGCAGCTGTTTCGCCCTTGTATGACTGGTGACCTGGTGCCATTGTCAAGCAAGAAATAGACACACCAGTTGATAGTCCATTACAGGGACAAACAACCATGCAATCACATAGTGCTAAAAGGAAACACTACACCATTTTGTTTCTTAATTTGTTTTATTTGAGGGGGTTTATCTGAAGGACATTCACATTTTCATCTCTGCAAGTTCTACATAAACTGTGTAGGAAAAAAAGTGCAGTAGTAGTATTAATAGCAATAACAACTATTATAAGATATGAAATTTGTGAAAAATCAACAAGTGGGACAATCATGAAGTGGAACAAAATTTTATTAAAAAAAATTAAATTAAACTCTTACCAATTAAAGAACTGAAGAGTGGGGCGTGCAATATGAAGCGACCCTTTCTCTTTCAGTGCAGCAAACTCTCTCCAAGTGTTCAGTGAGGATCTCTGAATGATCCAACGTCGACCTAAATGACTGCTGATGATAAATAGAATTCATGTGTCTAATCAAATCACTATAAATGCACCTGTTATGTGATAGTCTCAGTGGTCTTTTTAAAGAGCAGAGAGCATCATGAAGAACAAGGAGCAAACCAGGCAGGTCTGAGATACTGTTCTGGAGAAGTTTAAAGCTGGATTTAGGTTTAAAAAAAACCCAAAGAAACAAAGATTTCCCAAGCTCTCAACATATCAAGGAACACTGAGCAAGTGATTATATTGAAATGAAAAGAGTATCAGACAACTGCAAACAGAGATGATCAGAGATGCAGCCAAGAGGCCCATGATCATTCTAGATGAACTACAGAGATCTACAGCTGAGGTGGGACATGGTGGTGGCAGCATCATGGTTTGGGTCTGCTTTTCTTCAGCAGGGGCGGGAATCATGGTTAAAAAAAAAAAAAAAAT